GGTCTTAGGATGCCTTCTGCAGGGGCCGGTTCTTCTTTTTGTCAGTTTTTTATTTTCTCCCGAGAGAGATCCCCACCCCCCCAGGAGGGTCCTCACCCGGCAATCCACCCCAGTCCCAGCCAGCCCAGATGGTGAACACACAGGTACCTATGTGCTCAGGGAAGGTCTGGGACTAGAACACCCTTTCTCTCGTGGGTTCAGTGGCGTTAATGTTGTGTTACTACCCAGCCCCAGAGCCCAGCCCCTTTTGGTGTTGATTGATTGATTGGTTGATTGATTTCTTCTCTCTCTCTCTCTCTCTGTTTCTTTCTCTTTCTGTTTCTTTCTCTCTCTGTTTCTCTTCTTCCCTCCCTCCCTCCCTTCCTTCCTTCCTTCCTTCTTCCTTCCTTCCTTCCTTCCTTTTTCATTACCGAAGGGCATGCATGTTTGCCAGAGAAACAAAGAAAGGAGGGGCCAGCAGGTGGCGTGGTAGTTAAAGGGCACTGACTCCCACATGGCGGACCGTGGTTCAAGTCCTGGACCTGGCGGGTTTCTCTCTCTCTCTTTCTCTCTGTCTTTGTCTCTTGCTCTGTCCCTCTCTGGTCAAATTCAAATAAATAAAGTTAAATAAAGTAATTTTAAAAGAGAGAGAGAGAGGGAGAGAGCACAGTCACACCGACATCCCGTCTCCTCCATTTTACCACCCCGCTGAGATTTGGGCATGCATCTCCTGTGCCCGGTGCTGATTTTCAAACCACTGGGGCAGGATTTGAACCGCAGTCAGCTATGTGGGATCGAGCTCCCTGAATCACTAGGCTACAGGACTGGTCGTTTTTGGCAAGAGGGTCCATATACTCAACCAGAGAGAGCCAGAGGAGAAAGCATCCTCCAGGGCACCCCCCCTCCACCCCTCACTCCTTTTGAGATACCGGGAACACATGCACCTGCACCCAGCGTGTTTGTCAAGCTCGGGGTCTGGGACTTGAACAGTGGGGTGGACCATGTGGCATCTGGCTCTCTTAACCACCAGCCCACGGGGCCAACCCGAGAGCCCCCTTCCCTGGCACGGCCCCTGACCTTCTCCTTCTGCCTGGTGACCCGGCTCCGGAGGCAGCTCAGCTTCCTCTTCACGCTGGTGCCCTTGTTCTTCTCACTCCGGCCTCCACCATCTTCGCTCCTGGAGGGCAGGAGCGTCAGTGAGGAGGGGCCCGGAGGTTGTTCCCGGCAGGGACCCAAAGCCCATCTCCCTGTGGCCTCCCGCCCTGACTTACCCCTTCCACGGCCTCTGACTTCCTCTCTCACTCCCTCATTCACCCCACAGACACCCACAGATATCCCGGGAGCTGCAGGGACTGGGTGTACAGGGGGAATGCCTGAAGGCGCCGATGGTCCCAGGCTGGACAGCTAGCCTCTAATTCCTCCCTTTCATTCACACCTCCAGCTTTGCCGTGTCTAATCAGCCTTTAATCTAGCCATTCCACCCCTCCCAGTCTCTGGCCTGGCTCTCCTGACTGCCGGCACATTCCCAGTTACTGAAGGTTTGTTAAAGGCAGTGACAAACAAGGCAGGCCATCTTCAGCAGAATCTATTTCCCCGAGGGGAGGCTCTTCCTCCTGTCTGCGCCCCACCTCCTCCCCCGAGTCCTCGAGTCCACGTGGCTCTTGGAACTTCGCCAATATCCCTAAGTGTTTGTTGATTGAATGAGTTAGGGAGGGAGTCAAGGAGTCCCTGCACTGTCTGTGGTCCCCATCCTCTGTCACCCAGGGTGATTATACCTGAAGCATTCATTCTTTTGTAGAATAAAGTGTGTGCTCCTTGGCCCCCCTCGCCAAGGTGGTCTGGCCTGCCCCGCCCTGATACTGTCCCCCTAAGTTCAGAGTTCTGGCTCCTTCCCTCCGTCCTTATCTGCAAATATGGGCAAACTCCTGCTCTTCCGCCAGAAGCCACCTCCAGCTGTCACCTCCTCCAGGAAGCCTTCCTCTGTCCTTCCAGGGTGTACGAGGAGCCCCCTCACTTCCCGTCAGCCCCCAGCGCTGTGGATCATCGGGAAACCCTCTTTCAAATCCAGGACTGTCCCCGCCCCCCATCCGCCCGGCAGCTCCCTCCTGTCAGGTCTGTGTACTCACTCGGACAGGAACTCGAACCAGGTGAGGTTGGCATGGGCTCCCCCAGGGCACACGGACATGCGAGCCCTCTGCCGGGCCCTGCAGAGGGGACAGGGACTTGAGTCAGTACCCCTCGACCAACTCCAGCTCGCTGTCCCTCCCCTGCTCCGCCTGGTGTACATGTGTGAATTGTCTAACAGCCCTCAGGCCTGGGGCACTGTGGCCTTCTGTTTCAGACATTAAGGCAGGTCTTCCAGCAGAACAAAGCAGCACATTAGGAGGATACTCTTTTTTTTTAAAAAAAAAAAAAAAAAAAAAAGGTTTTTGCCTTAGAGTGCGTGTGCTCGTCCCAGAGAGAGACAGAGACATTGAGAGGGAAAGTGAGAGATCACCCCCCAGGGGGGATGGCCACACCACAATCCCTTCTCTTCCATTCTTCTCTCAGGATTTATTTGGGGCATGCACACACGTCTGCCCAGCATGATATTTAAACTGCTGGGTCCAGGGCTTGAACCGCAGTCGACTACGTGGGAGTCCAGCGATGTAACCACTGTGCTATCTCCTGGTCCCCTTGATCAGGGGGATTTTTCTAACGATGGCCGTACCTCAGGAAAGCCACACGGTTCTCATTCGCTCACGGGCACCCTGGGCTAGTGCCGGCTCACCTCTCTCCAGTCTTTGCCCATGTCTCTCTTCTGCCCTTGTTTTTTTCCTGTTGTTCTCTGTCTTCACACCTGTCCTGCCACACCTGTTTCTCCAAATGTGCGTTCCCCACACGTCTCTCCAAAGGGTCTCCTCTGCCCGTCCTCCCCTACGCCTGCCCCTCGGGCCTGCCCGCTGCCCCCCACACTGTCCCCGTCCTACGTACCCGTGGTATTGCCGAAGTTCCTGAAGGACTTGCTGGACAATCAGCCTGGGGATGTCAAGGGGAGGGTCAAAATGGCCCACAGTTGTCCGGGGTTATAGACGCATTTCCCCGAAGAAGCTGTGGTTGCCCAGCCCGCCCCAGGGCAGGGGATCGTGACACAGACTCTCACGGCGGGCCCCAACCCAGCTCCTGGAGGAATGGCCAGGGTCCCTCCCCTGGGGAAGGGTGGTGTGGAAGGGAAGACCAAGGTTGTCAGGGACCGAGCGGCTGGGGCTGACCACGCTGCAGCCTTCCTCCCCCAGCCTCCATCCACAGCCTCCATCCTGCTAGTCCCTCCCCTGCCCTGCCCCGAGGCAGGCACTCACACGTGCTCCGGCTCCACATGGTCCTTCTCCAGACACTCCAGCACCGGCGGTTCGAGACCTAGAAGCAGCCCCCGCCCCAGGGAGCACGGGCGTGAGGAGGGTCCGGGACAGGAGCCGCTGTGCGCCCACCCGCCCCAAGCCCCCGCAGAACTGAGACCATCCGGGTGGGGCTGGGAGAAGACAGCCAGGGACAGAGGTGTCCCCCAGGTCTCATTCACACTGATGATGCGCTAAGCACGTTACATGCGTGAGCTCAGTGGCTCTCCCAGTGACCCTAGGGAGACATAACCTCACTATTAGCCCTTCAAAGAGAAGACGCCATGGTGGCTTGGAGACTTTATTTTTTTAAGAGAAATTTTTGTTATAGGGCGCGTGTGCTCGCCTGAGAGACAGAGACAGAGAGACAGAAAGAGAGAAATCACCCCCCAGGGGGGATGGCCACACCGCAATCCCTTCTCCTCCATTCTCCTCTTGGGATCTTGGGCACTGGTGTGAGTTTTAAGCCACCAGGTCCGGGACTCGAACCACGGTCGACTACATGGGAGCCCAGTGATATAGCCATTACACCAACTGCTGATCCCTTGGAGACTTTCTGCCAGAAAGTGGCTGATACGGGTTTAGACTGGAAGTTCGATGGACGCCAGAGGGGTGCAAGCTCTTAGGACAGTCAGAGGTGCGGAGGGAGACAGAGCGAAGAGGAAGCCCCCCGAGACAAGCTCATCGCACTGGGGTGGTTCACCCTGGTGTGAGGCCTCCCCACGCCTCCCAAGACATCCTGCGTTCTGCTGTTACACTTGGGGGGCCCCAAGTTCCCGCCATCAGCCCCTTTTCCCTTCCCTGGGGGTTCATCCGGGGACTCTCCAGTGGAAATCGCCTCCCCTCTGCCCTCCCTCCCTCCTTGTCCTGCCTTGGTTAGAAAGAGGAGGACTCCCAGGCTGGGCTACCTTGAACGGGCGGCATGGGCACCTCCAAAGCCGGGGTGATTCCCAGGGATCTGATCTCATCAGAGGACAGGGGAACTGACTGCGACCTCACCCTGTGCTCGGGCCTGTCACGTTCCTGCAGGAAATGAACATCTTGCTGAGCTGGGTGTGAGGCCAGGCTCCCAAGGTTGGGGGTTCTCAGCCCCGATCGGGGGCCAGACACAGAACTTGGGGACAGGGACCAGCAGTTAGCGTAATGGCTATGTCGCTGGACTCCCATGTAGCCGACTGCGGTTCAAGTCCCAGACCTGGTGGCTTAAACTCACACCGGGCGCGTGTGCGTGCGTCCCCAAGATCCCGAGAGGAGAATGGAGGAGAAGGGATTGCGGTGTGGCCATACCCCCTGGGGGGTGATTTCTCGCTTTCTGTCTCTCTGTCTCTCTCTGCCTTTTTGGCGAGTGCACGTGCCATGTAGCAAAAACCTTTCCAAAAAAAAAAAAATAATAATTCAGGGACATCTTCACCCCAGATACAGCCTTTAGCTGCAGACAGGGCACCCCCAGTCCATAGGCATGAGCACAGCCATGCCCTCCCCAAAGGTGGGCTGCGGCCCCAGAATGTGTGACCATAGGCTCCAGCTATGGTCAGAACATTTCCCAAGGGTCGAGGTTTGCATCCAAGATGTCCCAGCTCCAGGCCCCGGCCCCTGGCCCAAGTGTGTATTCCACAGTCATGGAGTGGAGTCTCAGGTTCAAGACAAACCTGCCCTAGCTGGGGACCCAAATATAGGTGATGTTTCTTTTCTTTCTTTCTTTTTTTTTCTTTGTGGAGAGAGATTTTTCCTAAAGTGTGTGCATGCTTGCCAGAGAGACAGAGAGACAGCAAGCGAGAAATCACCCGCTCCCCCAGGAGGGTGGCCACGCTGCAATCTCTTCTCCTCCATTCTCCTCTTGGGATCTTGGGCACGCATGCACAAGCACCCAGCATGAGTTCTAAGCCACTGGGTCCGGGGCTCGAACCACAGTGGACTACACAGGAGTGCAGCAATGTAACCATTATACCATCTGCTGGGCCCCGGATGCATTTTTTCTGCCTGCATGCGACAACTGGACCAAGGTCCTTAATCCAGGCTGAGGCAGCAGAATAAGGAGACACCCCCTGTCCCCCAGCCCATGGGTTACAGTCATGGTCCAGGGTAGTCTGCCGTGCATACAGACGGAAGACCCCCCAGACCTGGGCTGGAGTGTCAGGACTCAGAGATGCCCCAGTCATGGGCTACACTTTGGACAAGGAGCGCCCACCCTGCCCTGAGAGGGGAGTCCCACCAGCCACCCAAGGTGCCAGCTTCTGAGCCCAGAGGGATGTTGTCAGGGACGGCAGGGTACCCTTACCTTCCCGGGGTGCTCTGCAGAGGCCCCACCTCCAGGCACACACTCTTGGGTCCAAGTTTTCTGGCCCTCGCCTGACAGATTCAGAGCGAGGCTAGCTAGGGTCCTAGGGAGACAGGGTCCCTCTTCCACAGGCGAGGCGTCGAGGCTGAGCCTGGCAGACCAAGGGAGGGTATTAGGGTTCTAGCAGGTCTCTTCCTCCGCCCCCGCCAGCATCTGGAGGCTTGAGGGAACCTGCAAGTGACCCTTCCAGGACAGGGAGGGGGTGGTCAGACCATCGATAGGGATCCCCCAATTTCAGAGGGGTGTCCAGGAGCAGAGAATTCTGGTTAGATCTGTTGCATCTATATTTGCATTACAGACCTGCCATTTTTGCAGGCTGGGTGGGAGGACAGGGGTTGGGGGTGGCTAAAGGACCCCTGTCTGCTCTTCGGTACTGCCGTGTGGTGTCTGGAGCCTAGCACCATCTGTGTTTCGCTCCTAAGTACTTCTGTGGCTCCGTGCCCATATGTACACGTGTGTGCAAACTGTCCGTGGAGACTTACACGTATGGGTCTGAAAGCGTGAGTGTGCGTCTGTGGGCCCAGCGTGGGCAGGTGGACACCAGTTCTGGAGTGCCTGCAGTGTGCCCATGCAAGTCGGGCTTGTGCGTGCTCACTCTGTGTTTGCGTGTGCCCATGCGTGTGGATTGATTTCTCCCCGGGTTCTATGTGCGTGCCTGTGCATGTGTATGTATGCATGTGCTGGAAAGGGGACTTGGGCTGCCTCTTGCACACATTCCCTGTTGCCCCTGCAGGCAGCAATGCAGTCGCAGGGGGCAGCGTGCCCGTCCTGGGCTATGTCACCGAGGGTGGCGGCATTAGGGTGGGGTGGGGGTGCTGACCTCCGCGCGCTCTCGGAGCAGCTCCTCGATCTCTCCCAGCTGCGTCTGCGCAGGGGGCCCCGCGGCCCTGCCGAGCTGGAGAAGGGCGAGTCCGCAGCCGCTTCTTTGCCAGGGGGGCTGCTGCCGCTGGCCCCGCCAGGCTGGCTGTGGGAAGGGGCCCCAAGGCCCAGATCCTGAAGGTATTCGCTGCCTTGAAGCGCTCCCAGATCCAGACTGAGGTCCTCGGCGCTCTCGCTGAGCCGCCCGGGGAAAGCGCCCTCCTGCAGGCGGGCGGGTGGGAGGAACGTTGCCTGAGGGGTGGCAGAGCACGGGGTCTCCTGGCCACGGGGCCCCTTCCACCCCACACCCCAACCCTGCCTGGGCCCCTCTCTGTCGCTTCAACATGTCTCCCCCATTCATGTGCTGAGATTTGGTGGGGCCAGGATTAAGAGGTGACAGCTCTGTCCCACCTTGGTGTTGGAGGGCTGGGAGTGGTACCACGTGATGCTCTGAGGCCAACCCACGTGTCTAGAGACACCTCCTCCCCAATACAACCAGCACCTGCCTCTGTAATCGGGGACTGGCTGCAGCTGGGGGTGGATTGCAGCATCAAGGCCCTACTGGGGCCAGCAGGTGGCATGGAGGTTAAGTGACTAGATCCTGCATGGCCAGCTGGATGGTTCGGGTCCTGGACCCAGCGGTTTGAATACCATGCTTGGTGTGTGTGTGTGTGTGTGTGTGTGTGTGCCTAAAATCTCAAGAGGAGAACAGAGGAGAAGGAAGGGTGGCATGGCTACTCTCCCTGTCTCTCTCTGGCAAGGGCATGTACCTTGTAGTAAAAACAAAAGCAAAAACAAAAACAAAAGATTCCTTCAGGGGCTGCCGTCTCTCTGTCTCTGTCTCTCTTGCTATACAGGAAAGAAGAAAGTAAACTTAAAAAAAAAAAAAAAAGGAAAGAAAGGGCCTTTGGGGAGATGAGGGAGATGAGGATGAAGGTCATCAGGGTGGGAGCCCCAGCCGGCTCCTGGCGGGTTTACGAGGAGGGACCAGAACACGGGCACATGGACACTCACGCACGCACCCCTATTCTCTGCCGTGTGACATCAGAGACCTCCCCAGAGGTGGCCTCTGGACCTTCGACTTCCAAACCTACGCTGAAAAAAACCCCTCTATTCTCTTAAATCACCCAGAAGCAGGTGTTTTCTGTTATTAGCAATGGAACTCAGAGGGAGACAGTGCCTGATGATGTTGTTGTTATTATTATTTTTAAATTTTGCCAGCTGTTGCATGCATTTGTGAAAGAAGAGAGAAAGAGAAAGAAAAGACCCTCCAACAGGTAAGGTCACACCAGTTCCTTTTCCATCTCTCCATCCTGTTAGGATTTTGCCCCATTTCTTAAGCCACCAGAGCCAGGATTCGAACCAGGGTCAGCCATGTGGGATCCAGCTCCCTTAACCACAGGCCACGGGCTGGCCCCATGCTAATCTTAAACAACGGCCATACTGGATTGCTTACTGCATCTCTGACCCGCTGCCTCCTGCCAGAATGATGTTTGGGACGCCTGAACCTGTCAACGCCCTGCAGTGCTGTCCCCTCCCTGCAGGTGGGAGCCGAGCTCCCCAGCACCGCACAGAACTTCCCAGGTTTGCCACCTCCCGCCTGCGGCTCTCTGTCCCCAGCCATGAGGCAGCAATGCTCTGGGCACTGCTAGACACCCAGATGTGTAGGCACCCGACCCATGCGTGTCCCCCTAACTCTGCAGTGGCGCCGCCAGGGGGTGTAGGTGGTCCATTTTCCAGGTCAGGAGACTGAGGCTCACAGAGGAATGAGGTCTCTCCCTGGGCACGCAGCCAGTAGGGTCTGTTGGAATCCAGGCTCTGTGCTCTTTCTACAATCTTCTCATTCCTTCTCCCTTTTTAAAAATTGTATTTATTATTATTATTATTTTAGAATGATCTTCTTTAACTTTATTTATCCATTTATTTATTTATTTTTAATTTGGCCAGAGAGGGAGAGAGAAAGTGAGAAGGGAAGCTGCCAGGTCTGGGACTTGAACCATGGTCAGCCCTTATTGTTATTAATTATTACTATTATTTTAAAAATTTGCTACAGAGCATGTGAGAGAGAGAGAGAGAGAGAGAATATAAGCTTCCAGGTTGGGGACTTGAACCACAGTCAGCCATGTGGGAGTCCAGTGTCTTCACCACCACACCGAGCTGGGACCATCTTTCTTTTTTAAACTTTTGCTATAGGATGTGTGCGTTCACCAGAGAAAGACAGAGACAGAGGGGAAAAGTGAGAAAACACCTCCCAGGAATGGCCATGCTGCAATCCCTTCTCCTTCATTCTCCTCTTGGGATTTTGGGCATGCACCCCCACATGCCTGGAGTTTTTTTTTTTTTTTTTAGAGGTTTTTGCTATAGGGCACGTGAGCTCTCCAGACAGACAGAGACAGAGAGATAGAAAGTGAGAAATCACCCCCCCGGGGGGATGGCCAGGCCGCAATCCCTTCTCCTCCGTTCTCCTCTCAGGATCTTGGGCATGCACGCACATGCACCCGGCATGAGTTTTAAGCCACCAGGTCCGGGATGCGATCCGCGGTCGACTACGTGGGAGTCCAGCGACGTAGCCATTATGCTAACTGCTGGTCCCATGCCTGGCGTGTTTTTCAAGCTGCTGGGTCTGAGAGTCGAACTGCCCAGTTGGCCATGTGGGATCTGGCTGTCTTACCCTCCACACCACCTGGTTGACTCCCTTCTTTGATTTTTCTTCTATTTTCTTAGTCCTAGGCTTCTCTCTCTTCTTCCCAGTTATTTTATTTGTTATTTTCTCCAGCCAGAACACCTGCCTTTTCTTCTCCTTGGCAAACCTCTTTACCCACTCAGTCCCTTTGGAGGGACTGCTCAACTCCTATGCATCCTTCAAAACCCAGTTTAGGCATGCCCTCTAGGTTGCACTCTTGACTCCTCTGGGCGGCCGCTATTCTCCCTCTGACCTCTTTGGCTGTTCCTTCTCTGCCTCCTCTTTCTTCCTCTGCCCCTTAAAGCCAGGCTCTCCCTTCCTCAGTTTGTCTAAAGACCCACAAGTCCAGCTCCAGCCAGTTCTAGGCGACACGACCCTCCTGGGACTCCGTGTTCACTTCTCCTGGAATCTTTCCTCATTCTCACTCACTCCGTCGCTCTCCCCGGTGCCTGGATAACTCCCGCTGACTCCTGTCTTTCCTCCATTGCCCCCAAAGTTTCCCTGTGTCTCTGGTCTTCATCCCCCTGTAAATATAAACACTTCAGGACAGCCGCCTGGCCTGACCTGGGCCCCCTCCTTCTCTTGCATCTGGTCTCCCTCAGAGGAGGCAGAGGTGGGAATGAGGCCAGGGCTGTGGGTGGAGGGGCGGTGGAGAGTCGGCACAGGCTGTCCCAGCTCTGGCCTGCAGGGACACTGAGGAAGGGAGAGGGACGGGGCCTGGTCCTTTGCTGGTGGTGGGGGGGTATATATCTTTCCCCCAGTATTTCCCGGGCATGGCGAGATGGGAGCGGGTCCAAGCGAGGCCTTTCCAGGCATTAGCTAAACACTGCACACCGGCCCTGACACCCAGAGAGGATGCAATAAATACAGCCTCCGGGGAGCCTTGGGGGAGGCCCCCCCCCGCCCCGTCACACCCAGCAGCAAAACATCACAGGATTCCCCGTTCTTGGGACGCAGGACGCCTGAGAAACTTTGATTTAAAAATGGCAAACGGTTAGTTATCTTGTTGTTTATGAGAAAAAAAGAATGCACCAAAGCAACCTCAAGCATAGTGCTTCTCGGAACCTGTTTCACAACATACAAAAGTGGTCTGGCTTTAAACAAAATAGCCAGAAAGCGAACACGGGTCTCCAGGTCTACAGGTCTCCAGGTCTCCGATGAGCTGACTGCCCGGTTGGGACCCCTGCTGTGGCTGTTATCAGCTTAGCAAGTTCCTGAACCTCCTCAGCCTCATGCTTTCATCTTTGAATATGGGCCAGCAGGTGGCATGGTGGTTAAGGCACTGGACTCCCACAGGGCTGACCCCCGACCACAGTTCAAGTCCCATACCTGGTGACTTGCATTCTTTCTCCCTCTCTTCTCTCTCTCTGGTAAGTGCCTATGCCCTATAGCAAATTTCACAAATAATAATAAACGAATTATGTCAAATAATTAGAGGAAATAAATAAAATGGGCTTGGGGCCAGGTGGTGACACACCTGGGACCCATGTGGGAAAGGTTCTGGGTTGGCATCGTGTGACCTCTCTGTGCATGCTGGGTGCACCCCTGCCTGTGATCAGGGTTGGGGCTGGGGATGGATTGCTAGGTGAGGACCCTGTGGGGTGGTCTTCCTTCTTTTAGAGGAAAAAAATAGTTGTTTTTTTTTTTAAGTTTTTGCTATAGGGCATGTGTTCTCACTGGAAGGAGAGAAAGAGATAGATAGAGAAAGCACCCCCGAGGGGTATGGTCACATGGCAATCCCTTCTCCTTCACTCTCTTCTTGGGATTTTGGGCATGCATGGTATTTTTTATTTTTAAAGAAGTATTTATTTATTATTATCATTTTAAAAATGTGTTGTAGGGCACATTCACTCTCCAGAGAGAGAGACTGAGAGAGAGAGGGAAAGTGAGAAAGCAAGCCTCCAGGTCCGGGTCTGGGACTTGAGCTGTGGTTAGCTACGTGGGAGTCCAGCACCCCAATCACCATGCCATCTTCCAGCCCCCATGCATGCTATTATTAACTTTTTTTTTAATTGTGAAAGAATGCATATGCTTGCCAGAGAGAGAGATGCAGAGAGAGAGAGAGAGTTCCCTTCCTCCCTTCCTTCTTTCTCTCCTTCCCTCACTCTTTTTTCTTCCTGTTATCTTTGTATCCACCCATCCACTTTCCATCCACACACCATCCACTCATCTAGTTTTCCTCCTTTTCCCTCCTTCTCTCCTTTCTTCCTTCTTTCTATCACCCATCTATGCATCTATTCATTCATCTATTTATCCATCCATCCATCCATCCATCCATTATCCACCCATCCATCCATTTATCTATTTATTCATCCATCCATCCATCTACTCACCTATTTATCCATCTACAAATCCATCCATTCATTCATCTATTTATTCATCCACCCAACCATCCGCTCACCTATTTATCCATCCATCCACCTATCCATCCATCCATCCATTCATTCATCTATTTATCCCTCCACCTACCCACTCACCTATTTATCCATCCATCCATCCATCCATCCATCCACCTATTTGTCCATCCATCCGCTCACCTATTTATCCATCCATCCATCCATCCATCCATCCATCCATCCATCCATCCATCCATCCATCCATCCATCCATCCATCCATCCATCCATCCATCCATCCATCCATCCATCCATCCATCCATCCATCCATCCATCCATCCATCCATCCATCCATCCATCCATTTATCCATCCACCCACCCATCCACTCACCTATTTATCCATCCATCCATCCATCCATCCATCCATCCATCTATCCATCCATTCATCTATTTATCCATCCACCTACCCACTCACCTATTTATCCATCCATCCATCCATCCATCCATCCATCCACCCACCTATTTGTCCATCCATCCACTCACCTATTTATCCATCCATCCATCTATCCATCCATCCATCCATCCATTCATCTATTTATCCATCTACCTACCCACTCACCTATTTATCCATCCATCCATCCATCCATCCATCCACCTATTTCCTTCCTTCCTCCCTTCCTTCCTTCCTTCCTTCCTTCTTTCCCTCCCTCTTCTTGTTCCAGGAAGGATTCCAGTTTCCTCACACTAGGATAAGGACTACTTTGCCAAGTTTGGATGAGGGTTCCCTGAGACAGTGTACACCGAGTGTCTGGTGCAATGCAGCGGCTACCCAGGGTGTGCCCGCTGCCCCCATTGCCCTCAGCTCCCACCCGTCTCAGCAGCCAGACACCTGCCTGCTCATCCCCCATGGCAGAGAAGAAGGCTGGGTTCTCGGGCCTCCAGGGTCCCCCGCTGGTCTTGGTGGCTGAGGCTGCAACTCCAGGGTCAAAGGGCTGCACACATGCCTTGGGCTCAGAGCCTGCGGAGAAGGCAGGGACAGGTGTGAGGTCCGAGCTGGGAGACTGAGGAAGCAGGACTCTGGCTCTGCACCTGCCACCACTCCCTTTGGACCTTGGTTTGCTTTCTTGTCTGTAAAATAGGCTGTATTGTTCCTGTCTGTAGGACCCAAAGCCTGAGACAACCCCAATTCCCACCCTATCACCGCCTGCGTGAAGAACTCACCTTATTCTTTCCCCAATTCCAGTCTACTCCCCACCATCCACAGGCCTTTGTGCCTCTCCCGAGTGTACAGTTAGTTGTCTTGATATTCAGACTTCCTTCACCCCCTCCCTAATTCAACTTTTCCTGCAAACACACCCCAGGGAGGATGGATGAATGGATAGCTGAATAGATGAAAAGATGGAAAGATGAATGGATGGATGGATGGATGGATGGATGGATGGATGGATAAATGGATGGGTAGGTTGGTGGATGGATGGATGGATGGATGGACAAATGGATGGGTAGGTTGGTGGATGGATGGATGGATGGATGGATAAATGGATGGATAAATAGATGGGTAGGTTGGTGGATGGATGGATGGATGGATGGATGGATAAATGGATGGCTAGAAAGCTGAATGGATAGATTCATGCACAAATAAATAGACAGATGGATAGATAAAAAGATGAATGGATAGATGGAAAGATGTATAGAAGGATGGAAGGGTGGATAGAAGGATGGATGAATGGATGAATAGAAAGATAGGTGAGTAGATAGATGCATGCATGAATGAATAGACAAGAGGATGGATGGTTGATCAATGGATAGATAAAAGGATGACTGGATGATGGATGGTTGGAAAAGATGTATAAAAGGATGCATGACGGATGGAAGGGTGGACGGAAGGATGGATGGACGGATGGATGTATAGATGGATGAATGCGTGGATAGAAGGATGGATGGATGGGTGGGTGGATGGAAGGAGAAATGATGCATGGGTGGTTGGATAGAAGGATGAATGATGGATGATGAATGGGTGGGTGGATGGAAGGATGGATAGGTGGGTGAATGGAAGGGTGGATGGGTAGATAGATGGGTAGATGGATGAATGGGTGGATGGGATGAGGGATGGATGGGTGGGTGGATGGATGGATAGATAGATGGATGAATGGGTGAATGGAAGGAGGGATGGATGGGTAGATGGATGGGTGGTTGGATGGAAGGATGGATGGACAGATATATAGATGGATGAATGGGCAGATGGAAGGATGGATGGATGGATGGGTGGGTGGATGGAAGGAGGGATGGATGGATAGATGGGTGGATAGGAAGGTGGGAGGATGAGAGGTTTGCATGAATGAATGGATAAAAGGATGGATGGGTGAATGAGTACATGGATGGATGAATGGATAGGTGGAGAATATCTAAACTTGAGGTTTGAGGAGATGGACGAAGGTGGAGGAGTGGGAATAGACCAGTTGTAGGGACTCATGGGAGGCTAGCCAGCACCTTCACAGTACGAGCAGTAACTGCCAGCCCTGGGGCAGGATGGGGTGGGGAGTGGGATGGCAGGCATCTTTGGAGAGTGCCAAGGTAGGCCCTCGTTTACGCTTAGCTCAAGTTCCTTATGGCTGAGTGAGCCACCCCCAGCTTGCTAGAGCAGTCCCTGTCTGTGCTGCTGAAAGGGGGTCATTACTGAATTGTCAGAAAAGTCAGGATGTATTTTTTCTATATTTTTCTATGCAAAAATGCTGGCTGCAGTTTGAATCCTGGGTCTGGCAGTTTGAAAATCATGCCAGGTGGGACCAGTGGTAGTTGACCACGGTCTGAGTCCCGAACTCGGTGGCTTAAACTCATGCCGGGCACGTGTGTGTGCGTGCCCAAGATCCTGAGAGTAGAATGGAGGAGAAGGGATTGCAGTGTGGCCATCCCCCCCGAGTGGTGATTTCTTGCTTTCTGTCTCTCTGTCTCTCTCTGTCTTTCTGGTGAGCACATGCACCCTATAGCAAAAATCTCTCAAAAAAAATAAAAAAAGAAAAGAAAAGAAAAAAGAAAGAAAGAAAGGAAGAGAGAAAGAAAGAAAATCACACCAGGGACATGCAAGTGTGTGCCCAAAATTCCAGGAGAAGAGTAGAGGAGAAGGCATTGCAGCATGGCCATCCACTGGGGAGATTGCTCACTTTCCCCGCTCTGTCTCTCGCTAGTGGACGCATCCACCCTTTGGCAAAAACAAACAAACAAAACCAAAAAGCTCTCTGTAGCCCCTAAAGATAGTACACCAGAAATTATCGTTAACATTTCTAAAAAGACCAAACCAAAAAGAGACACGAATAGGTGAATGAAAAGGAGTTACGTATGCCCATGCATGAAAACACAAGGAGAGTGGAAAAGGGTCTGGCAGTTCTGCAAAGAATTAAACATGACCCAACAATTTCACTTTCAGGTAACTACCCAAGAGAATGGGAAGTAACCACCCACACAAAAAATTCTATGTGATTGTATCACTTTCTTTTTTTTTTGAGAGGTTTTTGCTATAGGGCATGTGTGCTTGCCAGAAAGAGAGAGATACAGAGAGATACAAAGCAAGAAATCACCCCCTAGGGAGGATGGTCACACCGCAATCCCTTCTCCTCCGTTCTCCTCTCGGGATCTTGGGCACGCATGCACATGCGCCCGGCGCAGTACTAAACTTTTTTTTTTGAGAGGTTTTTACTATAGGGCATGTATGCTTGCCAGAAAGAGAGAGCTACAGAGAGATACAAAGCAAGAAATCACCCCCTAGGGAGGATGGCCACACCGCAATCCCTTCTCCTCCGTTCTCCTCTCGGGATCTTGGGCACGCATGCACATGCGCCCGGCGTGAGTCTAAGCCACCGGGTACGGGATTCAAACTGCGGTTGACTACATGAGAGTCCAGCGACATAGCCATTATGCTAACTGCTGATCATGAGTTGCATACTTTAAATGGGTGAATTATACGACATGTGGATTGTGTCCCAGTAGAGCTGCCATCAAAATAATTTGCTGGGACCTCTTGCAGAGTTTTGGATGGGGCGGGTGCTCATGGGTCTAAAGGCTTCAGTCTCACTCCCTCTGTGGCCACCGTGCTTCGGTGAATGAATGGTTAAAAGTGTGCCTATGTTGTAGTTTCCACCACCCCTGCTTTCCTGGCGACTCTCCTAAGCTGGTTGGAGGAGAAGCTATCAGCCCTTGGTTTCGCTGCCCTCGCTGAGCTTTGCATCACTTCTATCCACTCCAAAGTCAAGGCAGTATCATCGATGACTCAGAGATGCTTGAACAAAACGAGCAGGCTGTGAAGGAGGAGAGTCAGACTTGGGGATGGGTTCTGAAGGCTGAAGGGAGCTCGCAATGGGAGGGCCAGTTCCTTTTCTTAGCTATGTTCCCTAGGAACCATAGGAAAAGCTGCGTGGTTTACCCATTCCCCTGGGTGGAGGATTCATGGAGGCCAAACGCAGAGCCTCCTACCCCAAAGGTAGCCCCCAACAACTGGCTTCCAATCCCTGCTTTGTGTCTGTGAACCCTGAAGGTCTGGGGTCCAAAGACTAAAGGTGAAAGGTCAGGGTTGAGTTTAGTCTTCTTTAAAAAAATTTTGTTTTTTCTTGAGAAATTTTTGCTATAGCTGCCAGAGAGACAGAGAGATAGAAAGCAAGAAATCACATCCCCCCCCCCCAGGGGGGGTGTATGGCCACACTGCAATCCCTTCTCCTCCATTCTCCTCTTGGAATTTTGGGCATGCACACACACATGCCCAGAATGAGCATCAAGTCACCCCAGTCCAGGACTTGAACCATGGTTGGTCACATGGGAGTCCAGCGTCTTAACTACTATGCCACCTACTAACCTTGAACTTAGTCTTCTTTATACAGAGGTTTTTGCCCCAAGCACAGGCTGAGCTTAACTTGAAGATAAACTCAACTCTGATCCTGTTTTTTCCAGATGGAGGTCCAATCTTTGTGTCACTGTGTCTCAGACCAAGCTCTGATCTTGGGGGTTTATAGACCAAGCCCTAATCATGGTATCAGTTACTGATCCTAGATCCTGGTCTCAGAGACTGAGCCTCATCCTGCTGTCATAGGTTGAGCCCTGATGGATGGAAAAATGAATGGATGAATAGAAGTTGGATGAGTGGGTGGATGGTTGGATAGTTGACTGGTTGAATGGAGGGATGGTTGGATGAATGAATGGATTGTTGGATGAATCCATGGTTGGAGAGTTAATTGGCTGGCTGGCTGCTGATTATATAGATAAGTAGTTGGATGACTGAATAATTGGTGGGTTGGCAGACTGGATAGACGGGTAGTTGACTGGTTGGTTGGATGGATAGATGGGGAGTTGACTGGTTGGTTGGATGAATGAATGGACCCTTGGATGAATCCATGGTTGGATAGTTAACTGACTAGCTGGGTGATGATATAGGTAAGTGGTTGGATACGTGGATGATTGGATGGGTGGATGACAATAGTCGGAAGGGTGGATAGATGGATAGTTAGTTGACTGGCAGGTTAGTTGAATGGGTGAATGAGTGGCTAGTTGGATGGGTAGGGAATATGACAGTGTCCAGAGGCAATGATGCCATAGACTCAGGAGACGGCAATTTGAGGGGGATAGTCAGGGAGAGGTAGAAGGAAGCGGGGCAGAATCATGGCAGAGAAGCCAGTCAGAAAGGAACCAAGATGAGACCCAGAATACATTCATCACATATGCACGTGTTACCAACTGGGAAATGAATGAAAAAGCATGTCCAGAATGGATCACTGGGAAAGCAAGGGGAAAGGGCCAGGAGCCTCCCTCAAGGCTCGGTTCTCCTCTTCCAAGCTTTGCCTACCTTCCCAAGCCCACCCCCAGCATTTCCCCAGGATGGACGTTCTATTAGGCACCAAGACGGGTGGTCCCAGAGCTTAAGAGAAGCAGAAAAAGGCCCTTCTGTCCTGCTCCCTAGGGCTAGCCTGGAGGGATGCTATTAGGGCACCACCCTCTCAGGGGAGTAAAGCCAGAGAGACACAGGGCCTGAGCAGGGACAGGGGCTTTTCTGGGGTGGACCCTACTCCTTGACCTACGTTCCTCTCCAAAGTACCCATCACACCGGCTTTGGGTCCCAGGCAGCCAGCTCCAGCGGCAGTCATAAGTGGGTGTAAGAGACACCATCAACTTGTCAACGTCGCCCCACCTGAGCAGAGAGACAGGGTGGGCTGGGCACCCAGGAGCTGAGTAGACCTTCTCTAAGACCTGGGTCACAAGCTTTGACCTTGAAGATCATGGCTGAGGTTCTCATTCTCCTAGATTGCCATTCACGGTTAGATTAGAAACCCTCCCAGACACTCCAGCTGTTCACGAGTCAGAGAACACCCCAAAGGTAGCCCCCAACAACTGGCTCCCAATCCCGGCTTCTTCTGTATACACTTGCTGTGTGACCTCGAGTAAGTCACTGGGGCTCTCTGAGCCTAACATCAAGAGCGTTCAATAACAGTTAGCAACTTCCAACCTCATGAGAACTCTCCCATTGCATCCCAGTTCCCAGGACACCCTCTCTCTCCCCAGCCCCTGCCCCAGCCTCTGGGTCCCCTCATCCTCCCTCCTGCCCTCTGACCCAAGCACAAGTACATATGCCTTCAAGAGGACTTCATGGAATGACCCAGCCCCTCCTCTGTGAGAATTCGCGGCTGCTTTGTGCAAGTACCTGGCTCACGCGGCTGATGGTGGCCAGCATGCGTCCACACTGAGTGAGGCGGCTGGTGTGACCGGGAGGGGCTCTTATTTGCAGGGAGACAGGAGGATGACGAAACCCAGCAAGCAATGGGTTCACACCCACTCCTAAACCAGTGTCCTGCCCTGTCCCCTCATGCCCCATGTATCTGGACACCGAATGGTTATCCCCAAGGGTTAAACAGCTGCTGAGATACAGAGAGAAGTGTCTCTCTGCAAAAACAGTTCTTGGAGGCCGTGAGGAATATGTTACACAAGGTGCTATTAGTCACCTCTTGTCTCAGAAGTACTTCCCCAGGCTTAGCCAGGAACTTGCCTTGGGGCAAATTTACAGAAGGAGAATCCCCCCTGAGGCCCTGAGACCCTGGGGGCGAGCAGAAGCCACTGTCTGTGTTTGTTTGAAGGAGGTGTCTGCCCGAGAGGCTCAAATCTCCCTCTTCTACCACCCCGAGCCTCCAGGAACCAACACCATGGACCCCTAGGATGTCACCAGGCTGCCCTTAAGAGCTTAGCAGCTCAGGGCTGGCAGGTGGCATGGTGGTTGGGGCACTGGACTCCCATATGGAAGACCATGGTTCGAGTCCCAGACCTGGCAGTATGCTTTTTCACGGTTCCTCCCTTTCGCTCTCCTCTCTCTCTCTCTCTCTCTCTCTCTCTCTCTGATGAGCATCTATGTCCCATAGCAAACTAAAAAATAATAACAAATAAAAATAAATAATTCTTAAAAAAAAAAAAAAGCATTCAGCAGCTTTGTTGGAAAGAGGGGATTCTCTTTCTGTAAATTTACCCCAAGACAAGTGCCCGGCTGAGCCTGGGGAAATACTTCTGAGACAAGACAAAGCCCACATGTCCCATGTCGGTGATGCTTCATGGGGGCCCGGGGGACTCAGGGGCCTGGAACCCGGGGCCGACTGAAGCAGAGTCTGTGGTCCGGCCAAGGAATGATGTGAAGGGGGATGGTAGACTGGCTGTCTAGGGGTCCCGCCTGGGTGGTCAGTGCCCCCGGACACTCCCTACTCCTTACCTCTCTTGAAGGCCCAGCGCCTTAGCCACAGCTTGGAGAGGGCCGGCCAGGAGTGGTTGAGCTCCGAGTCGGCCATGGGGCTGCATGTGTGAGAGTGAGTGTGCAGGAGCTGGGCTGGGGATCCCTGCCAGGACGGGGCTGCCAGCAGCCAGAGAGGCGGAGACTGCTCCCAGGGGCTGCCAGAGGCATCAGCCGATGGGAGCCTGGGCTGGGGGGAGGCCGATTCCTTAGCACCTCCTGTCCCCTGACACCCTGTCTTTGGGCCTCTCGCCCTGGCTGCACAAGACATTCCCAGGAGAACGCGAGTGCAGCCAGGGTCCTGCAGGGAGCATGTGTGTGCGTGTGTGTGTATGCATGCCATTGTCTCTGTGTGCTTGACTATGCATGTATGTGTCGGTGTGTGTGTTTCCAGGTCTGTGTGTGTTTGAGTGCAAGTCCATTGATCTATGTGGGGGGTGTATTTGAGTATCTAGGTGGTTTTCAAAGTGTGTGTGGGTGTGTATGTGTATGTGTGTATGAAGAGGGAGAATGACCATCGGTGTCTATATGACCTGTCTGTGTCTTGGGGACATCTGCTTTTCGTATCTCCAGAAGAGGGTCTTGGCGTCTGTCTGTGTTTCTACGCCGCTAGGTCCTTGCATCTGTATCTCTGAGTGTGTCCAAGTGTGCGGAGCGTGTGCGTGTGTGTGTCAGCACATCTGCCAAGGTGCTGCCCCCTGGTGGTGTAAGCCCCTCGCCTGCGTCTTCACGCCCGGTGTCTGAAACATTCCCGGCTTTGTTTTCCTCTGAGCCCTTTTGTCCACTGCTCTCGGGGGTCCCTGGTCCCTCAGCGACTTCCTAGACTCAAACAGCCTACACTGGAGAGAAGCTCAAGGACCCCTCCTTCCTCACCTCTTCCCCAACGTGCACCCCCTAGCACGAAGAGCTGTCACTTGTCCTCTGTCCCCTGACCCCTCGACCTCCTCCTTCTCTTCTTTTTTTTTTTTCCTTTGGAGAGATTTTCACTGTAGGGCGCGTGCGCTCGCCAGACAGACAGAGAGAGACAGAGAGACAGAAAGCAAGAAATCACCCCCCAGGGGGGATGGTCACGCCGCAGTCCCTTCTCCTCCATTCTCCTCTCGGGATCTTGGGCACGCACGCACACGCGCCCGGCGTGAGTTTTAAGCCACCGGGTCCGGGACACGAACCGCGGTCGACTACGTGGGAATCCAGCGACATAGCCATTACGCTAACTGCTGGTTCCCCTCCTCCTTCTCTTCTCGAAGCCCGTCTTGACTGATTTGATTCCACAAGCCATGCAGTCTCTATTTTTTTTTTTTTAATTTTTTGAGGAGTAATTGACTTTCTGTTTTTATGTACTTATTTTGCATTTTTAAGTTATGATTCCTACATGAAATCGCTAGACATCATGTAGATTGTGAGAGACTTTACTCAGCTTGATTTACACCTCAGTTCAGCCCAGTTGAGACCACCACATACATCCTCATCAACAGATAAAAACCTTATCTGTGGAAACCAGTGGTTAGCGTAATGGCTATGTCGCTGGACTCCCACATAGTCGACTGCGGTTCGCTTCCCGGACCCGGTGGCTTAGAACTCACGCCGGGCGCGTGTGCGTGCGTGCCCAAGATCCCGAGAGGAGAATGGAGGAGAAGGGATTGCGGTGTGACCATCCCCCCGGGGGGGGGTGATTTCTCGCTTTCTGTCTCTATGTCTCTCTCTGTCTGTCTGGCGAGCGCACGCGAGCTGATATTTTGCCTAAGCTACAAAAGGCTTTGTGGAAAGGCTGCCTCTGCCAGGAAGCCCTCTCAGAAGGACTGCCCAGCATGGTGAGGGAGTTCGGCATCGCCTGATAGTGAAATCAACCCTTCCTGACCTCCGCTGGCTCTAAGTCCTTTCCCCAGAACTTTAGGTGGGGTCGGACCCTGATGCAGTGGTAGGAGACACTTTGCAAGTCTGATCCATGTGGGAAGGTTCTAGGTTCAAGTCTGGAGACCCCCCCGAACACGCCAGTCATGTGTGTACCTGTGATCCAGGCTGGGGGGGACTGCTATGCCAGGACCAGGCTGCAGTGCTGCCTGCCTGCCTCTCTGTCTCTGACTCGCGGAAGAGAGCAGAACGGGTGACCCCGCCTTGGGGAACGAGCCTCCCTGGCCAGCCCCAGCCTCCCTGACTCTCTAGCTGTTTGCTCTGGGTTCTCCTCTCCTGACCCCCAGGCCCCGGGGTGCTGCCTGCCCCTTGCCCCCTGAGCACTGGAGGCGAGAGGAAACAGATGTGGGTGTGCCCAACACTCCACTAACCGCAGGCCCTCTCTCCACCTCGCCCCACCCAGGCAGCTGGGTGCAGAGGCCTCCAGCGCTCAGGGCGAGAGCCTTAGGGCCGGTTCTCAGGCATCCGTCTGACGTGGGAGTTTGTTTTGAAAAGTGGACTCCCCACTTACACCCTTCCTAGTCCCTTTCAGGGAGGGCCGTGGGGGCCCCACGTATTTGTAGCTGAAGAAGCAAAGGATGCCGGGTAGCTGTGGCACAGGGAACCTAAGCCCCTCCTTGCATTCTCTGTCCAGTCTGCAGACAGACCTGGGCTGCGAGAGACGCCCCGATTTTTTTTTTTTGGTGCCCCCTGGGGTGACCCCTTACGAACCATGAATCTCCATAGAACACACACAGTCAGACAGCTTTTCCAGCCCACGGGGGAAGCAGGGTTCCCGGGAGCTGGAGAGAGACTGTCACGGTCTGTCTGCTCGCCACCTTCCGCCCCCAAGTCCCCCTGGTCCCACTGCTACACGTCCCTCTTGGGACCCTCTGTCTCTCCACTTCCCAGGGTGGTTACTCACCAGCTGGAGCCTAGTGTTCACTGCTGCGGGCAGTCAGCCTGGCCAGGGCTCCTGCAGCCTCCACAGCCCACGGCCAGTTTTCAGCTCACCCAAAGGCGCAGTGGCCGGCGAGAGCCTGGCGTAACCACGGAGTGACCCAACCTCGCCTCAGCTTCCTCTTCTTCAACCGCCCGCCCCTCTACCTGCTGCCCGCGTCCCCAGCGCTGGGCCAGTCCGGGGGTCCGAGAGGAGCCCAGAGGACCCGCCTTTAGAAGCAGGCAGCTCTCCCCCAGGGCATGCAGGTGTCTGAGAGGAGGCGCAGTGAGCCCAGGGGAGGCTCAGCACCCTCACCCCCACCCCAACAGCTTCCTGCGGAACCAACCGCTGAAGAGGAACGGGGCGTGGGGCCTCCCCCGGCACATGGGTGCACAGAGGCACAAAGTCACGTGTATCCACACACACGCATGCACCAGCACGAGGGTACACGGGGAGACAGACACGCTGGTGCGCCTGGAGGCGCGCGGATCCGAACGGTGTGCGGGGCAAGGTTCAAGAACCACCTCTCTGATCCGTAGCACTTGCCCATTCTCCTGGTGTAAATATTCTCCTGCCGTTTTTCAGCTCCCCGCGGAACGTCAGCGAGTGCGGAACTGGAAGGTCATGCTCAGACTGGGCTTTTGTTTTTGAATTTTTGCTAGAAGGTGTGTCCTTTTGCCAGACAACCAAGGGCGCGAGGGGAGGGCTGAGGGAGTGAGAAAGCGTCCTCCCGGTGGGGAACGGCCGTGCCGCAATCCCGGCCTTTCCATTCTCCTCCGTGGATTTGGGCCACGCACGCATTCTTTTCAAGCTCCCGGGTTCAGGACTTACACGGTGGGCGATGGGATCCAGCTGCCTTCACCACCAGGCCGTTGGCTGACCTTTTAAAGTTATTATTATTATTTTTTAAATGTCTTCAGGGGGAACTAGCAGATGATGTAATGGTCGCTGGATTCCCTCATAATCGACCTGGTTCAAGTCCTGGACCTGGCAGCTTAAAACTCTCACCAGGTGGGACCAGCAGTTAGTGTAATGGCTATGTTGCTGGACTCCCATGTAGTCGACCGCAGTTTGAGTCCTGGACCCAGTGGCTTGGGCTCACGCCGGGTGTGTGTGCGTGTGTGCCCAAGATCCCGAGAGGAGAATGGAGGAGAAGGGATTGTGGTGTGGCCACTCCCCCTGGGGGGTGATTTCTCACTTTCTGTCTCTCAGTCTCTCTCTGTCTTCCTGGAGAGGGCACACACCCTATAGAAAAAAAAAAAAACTAAAAAAAAAAAAAAAGGTCTTCAGAGGAACCAACAGATGGAGTAATGGTTACATTACTGGACTTTCACATAATTGACGGTAGTTCAAGTCCTGGACCCGGTCACTTAAAATTCACGCTAGGCATGTGTGCATGCGTGCCTAAGATCCTGAGAGGGGAATGGAGAAGGGATTGCGGCATGGCTATCCCCCCTCCCAGGTGGGGGGTGATTTCTTTGTTTCTCTCTCTCTCAGGCAAGTGTACACTCTATAGCAAAAATCTATTAAAAAAAAAGTCTTGAGAAGGGGCCAGCAGAGGGCGTAGCGGTTACTTCACTGGACTCCTACGTGGCTGACCGCAGTTCAAGTCTTGGACATGGTTGCTTGAAACTCACCCCAGGCACGTGGGCATGCGTGCCCACGG